CTCATGGCATTTTTTTAGCCTTTCGGGACAGTATGATTTATACTTTTCATAATTTGCTTTCTTTATCATGTTACAGATCTTAAAGTTGATTTTTGATTTTTATGTAACACTCTTGTGGAAACCACCTAAAAAGTAGAATTTGAGTAAATACATTGCTGTATGATGACATATTTAGAATATTAGGATTAGCATTTCAAGGGACTGGTAGGTCATTAGAATCAGGAAGTTTAATGGAACGTGCCTGCCGTCCGATCTTAGGACAGCTTATCCTGTCTACATATATATCAATTAAACTTCTTATGACCCTCTCTGATGGCAAGGCAATCAATTTAGGAAACTTGTTTGGAATTAGGTACATTTCATACAGGAAGTGTTACAGGTGAGTGAGTGTTCATGTAATATTCTATGAGCTAGCATCTTGGATGGTCTATATTTGAAAAAAAATCTCATTTTGTTTTCTGATTGAGTTGTGTTCAACCAGTTACTGACTGTCAGCCATTCAGTCATCCATCCATTGAATCATTCAACCATTCACTCAATGAGTTAAGACCAATATCTACAAACACACTTGCCTAACCAGTTACTGACATTCTTTGACTGAACCATTCAACTAATAGGTCAACGGTCTTCTCGATCAGTCAAACCAGCCACCCAACCATTAAACATTCCACTCAGCCATTCAACCACCATCTACATACACCACCCCGTGAAGGTCTGGGTTAGAATATTGATCTTCAGTACCCCATGCTTGTGGGTCAGGCTCGCTGAATTGGTTGACACATGTCATCGGTTCCCCATTGCGCAGATCGATGCTCATGCTGTTGATCACTGGATTGTCTGGTCCAGACTCAATTATTTACAGACCGCTGCCATATAGCTGGAATATTGCTGAGTGCGGCGTAAAACTAAACTCACTCACTCTACGAAATATACACACTTGCTCAACAAGTTACAGACAGTCATTAACTCAATATCCATTCGATCAGTCAACCATCCACTCACTCACCCAACCCCACTTAGACGTCCGTAGGTGAGACCGATTGACTGCGTCGCTTGAGAGCCGGAAAGTTGCGCGGGTTCGATGCCCGACTCGTCATGCAAAAGGGTAAAACAAGGACTGGTGGTCCCTGCCTGGAGTCAGTATAATGTGTCTGTGTGGGGTATTCATGCTTCACTGCGGCATGGTATCTCAGTGGGCTAGCATTATAAAACCAGCTTGAGTCTGGGCTAGTACAAGCAGCCGCACATACACATACACACACATGCACGTTGTCATATGAGCAAAATATTCTCAAGCACGACGTTAAACGCAATTTCACCTCACCTCACCTCACCCAACCTCCGTTCACAACAAGCTCCAAGTGTGTTCATGTGTCCAAGTCAGTATTTTGTATTTGACAGATGTAGTGTTTATGAAGTCCTTGAAATAATGTGGCAGTTCTTGTAAAGTACTTGAATTTCAAGAAAGGAACTTCCATGTGCAAATCATGTTCAAATCAGCAGAAAAGTTGAACTTTTTGTCAGCTTACAACATGCATTCTGACATTAGAGTAATACTCCATTCTGTGAATGTAGCAGTGTGGAAGTAGGGCTCCTTGAGTGACTGAAGATTGTCGTTTGAAAATAGTTACAAACTGCTTGTTGTTGTTTTTTCTCCCCACTCAACTACCAGGTTTGAAAGATGGAATTTCAACTCAGCATAAAATTAGAAAATATGGATTTTAGCTGCTGTACAAGTGGTTTAAAACCCAAGAAAACATTCTATGGAATGATGATGTCAAGAAAACAGTTTCACCAGTATGAAAACACAGGTATTCAAAAGTGGAAATCTCTAAGGCTTTTCCACCGTCAATCTCATACATCACAATGATTTTAGTTTTTCCTTAAATCAACAGTAAATCTGAATAGCTGCTTAATACGGAAAGCATCCAACAGACGATCCTTGGCTGATCGATGCTTCAGTGCTGCAGGGTCTTCCAGGAATAATTAGTTCACAACCGTTTACATCATGCCTACGACGCATGCCTATCAAGCCTATTAGGACTGTTAGCGACAGCTCCTTGTCAATTGATTGTACAGACCGAAATAGAAGGAATGGAATAAAAATTCTTTTTGATGTTTTGTGACATAACTTTATCTCCTGAAGGTCAATAGTGTTTTGCTTCAAACTTGAATCTAAAAGGGTTCTATTTCTGGTCAGTATATTATTTGGTCCTATTGATGGATCATTTCCTAAGGAGGAATAATCTGTCATTAAGAAAGGTTAATCAGAAGGGTTGCTATTTTATAGCTTAAAGGTGTAGGGCAGCAGGTTGAAGTCTCAGTTTGGACACTGTCGCTCGTAAAAAATTTGAGACCATTAAAATCTCGAATGTGATGAGCTGTTTTCTCCCAGAATGTGGTTATATTACATAAACCACTAGTCTGTATTAGCTATAGATAGGTTAGATGTAACCAAATATTTTCCCCCTGAAAACTGCAGAATCAAGTGATTTTTTTCTTTATGTAGAATGTAGTTTTGGTATGTACTTGTAAATATATAATGTTAAAGCTGAGAATATTGATTATCCAAGAATAGTAAAAGAACTGTTTTATCGAACAATATTACATTATGTATTAATGGATGGTTCATGAAAGGGGAGTTTGATTAGAAAAGACATGTCTGCGCTCTTGAGACTCAGTTAGGAAGGGGCGGTGGGGTAGCGTAATGGTTAAAGCGTCGGCTCGTCACGCTGACAACCTGGGTTCAAATCCCCACATGGGCACAATGTGTGAAGCCCATTTATGGTGTCCCCCGCCGTGATATTGGTGGAATATTGCTAAAAGCGGCGTAAAACACAACTCACTCACTCAATGTTTCATGGCATCTTCTTTCTTTTTCAAGTGAAGAAGAGCAAGAAGTAGCCTTGAAACAGGTATGTTTGATGAAGTTAGGAAGGCTGAAGGAATACGAGACTGTCCACTTGATATTCTGTGTGTGTGTGTGTGTGTGTGTGCATGCGTGCATGTGTGTGTGTGTGACTTTTTAAAAGAAATAATTCATCCCAAACAATTGGAAAATACAGATTTGCTGCAGGTTTGTTTAGGTTTGTTGTTAACAAACATATTTTGTAGTTTACTGGACATGTATGTGAACAAAAAGAGTAATTGATCTTCTTTCAGAGGTTTTTAAATCTCTTCTCTGACACAATCTCAAGGAATAATGACACAGTTCTCTGGTTCTCAGTCTTGACAGTTGAATCTTTTAATGATAATATGGATATGTATGATAAGTGAAGACGTTAGAATGTTTTAGCTGTATATGTTAACTTTGGCTTGACGATAAAGTTACTAATGTGTGGATGTGTTGTTTGATTAAAGTATGTTGGACAAAGTCACTTGCCTCTGACCATCTCACTTGACTTAACCTAAGTGCAAATACATACCGGTAAGCTGCTTGTCAGGTCCTAGGGGTCACTGGAGCAGGCCTGTCTGGTGACAGTCACTGTGATGGATCATAATAATATAAATAAGTCACAGAAATGGCTACCGGGTAGTGTGTTCTGAACAATCACTGAACATACAGTCAGTAACAGTAAATAACAGTAAAGTAGAAAGTTATCAAGGAAGAAATTATATTGCAAAGAATTTAGATGATGCTTCATATAAACGTTTTGGTTGTCTGAGCGTACACTAGGAGCCCATTCCACAAAACAATTGTATTGCTGCGATGTCACAACTCCTATATGTTAACAGCGACAGTTGTCATCCTATGTTTGCTTCATGGAACAAGGCCTGGCACTAGAAATGTGTACAATGTTGATTTCTGAAAAACTGTGTGAAAGATGCCAGGCATGATCTTACAAAATTTAGCTCTTTGTGCTGAAATGGAATTTATAAAGGTCAGCATAAATTACACTTCATTCAGGTCCCTACCTAAGTAGAATGTAAAGTAAATGAGTAGATTTTATGAATGCTTCACCTTTCTAAGGTCCTGTAAGTTGATCAATTAATATATGTAAATATATGTTATCCATGAGTGATTTGAGTTTGATGCTGCTGTGAAAAGTATTTGTTATATGACTGCATGTGGTTAATTATACAAATAGTATTAAGATATCATGATATTAAACAGTTCGCTCGCCACGCTGAAGACCCGAGCTCAATTCCCCAGATGGGACTTTGTGTGAAGCCCATTTCTAGTGCACCCCGCTGTGATATTGCAGGAATATTGCTAAAAGCGGCGTGAAACCACACTAACTCACTCACTCTTAGTTTAATAGGTCCCTGTTTCTTATGCTTGTCATACAAGGCGACTAAATGGATCAGGTTGTCAGACCTATTGACTCGGTTCATTGCATGTCATTATATCCCTGATGTGAGGATCAATGCTCATGATGTCAATCACTGGATTGTCTGGTCCAGACACAAGTATTTACAGACATATTGCTGGAATATTGCTCAGTGTTAAACAACACAGGTTAATGTGAACTGCTGTGAATATATTGTAAGATCACATTTTTTCTCTAAAGGAGTAGCCTGTTTTACTGACAAAAATGTCAAATGCCTCATATGTTAGGGAGAATATTCTTACCCAAGCTAGAATCAAAAGTTTCTCTCGATTAATCCTGTTTTATATATATCTATACTGTTGTTCTGTACTAATCATATTTATTTTTTCTGTACTAGTTGCCAAAACCTGTTAATATCTGGGATGGAATTGGTCTTAAGCAAGCCTGCTTGTCGTAAGAGGCAACTGAGGATTGGGTGGTCCGGCTTGTTGACTGGAATGTAGCTTGAATGTTGCTGCTTGTTGACTTGGTTGACACTTGTCATCATGTCCCAGTTACAATCAATTCTCTTGCTCGTGATCACTGGATTGTCTGTTCTAACTCAGTTATTTACAGACCGCCGCCATGTAGCTGGAATATTGCTGCATGCAGAGTTAAACAACAAACAAACAAACTACTGTTGCCCAAATGATAACAGTAAATGTTTATGGGTACTGTTTTTTGTTTCAGCACAAGGGATTACCCTACTGCCACAACCCGTGTTACAAGGCATTGTTTGGACCTTCTATACTGGGATATGGATCCAATGTGCATTCAGCTGCCAATTACAGGAACAGTAAACCATTTGATGGAATTACAAACTCCAGTAATATGGATGGAATAAGTACTAAAATATTCAGTTTTGCCAAAAGTGTTTTGCCCAAAAATGTACAGAGTGCCATATCTCAGGATAATACCAAAGTCCAGCCACCTCAAGCTCAGATGCTCTACACTCAGGAAGAGTAAGTGAGATGTTTCTCTTGAAGATTTATGTTGCTTTCTTTGTTATTGTTTTAATTTCAGATGATTAATCTCAATTACTCCCTCTTGGGTAATTGATGAAGTGTATAATTCAACAGTTCCACACTTACACATGTTATATTTGGGATAACACTTTCTCAGTAAACCACAGATTCTAGTACTTTTGTTTTCCTCTACAGTGTGTGGGGTCGATATTTGACATTGTGTGCTTGCAATTAGGTGCCGGACACTGAGAGTGTGAGTTCGAATCCAAGATAGGACTCAACTCAACAAATGTACTATGTACCTTTACTGAGAAAGTGTAATCCCAAATATAACATATGTTACATTTGACCACTTTGTAAATGACATTGTGCATTCAGTTCCACAGTTGGAAAGAATAATATACACAACCTTGTTATGATTCTTGGTTAGAATTGGACCCCAGCAATGTATGGTGGTTGTAAGAGGCGACCAGATGGAGAAGGTAGAGTCAGGTGTGGCCGATTGCTGGTCACCGTAGTCCGGCGGCATGGTTTGTTGCTCATGATATCAACTGGTTTGTGTGCTCCAGACTTGATTACTAGCTGGAGCTATAACTGGAATATTGTTGAGTGCGTCATTAAGCTACAAACAAAAGTTGTTGTTTTGCTTTTACCATTACTTCAGCGATATCATGGTTGAAGACACCAGAATGTGGGTCTAGACATTGTACCCATGTGAGGTATTGAACCCAGGGTTTGATGAGTGAACACTTTAACCTTTTAGCCTTAACTAATTGTAGGGGTACTGGGATGTAGGGGTACTGGGATGTAAGGGTAATGGGATACAACCACCACACCTGTTCCAAGCAATATACAAGCAAATTGTTGTTAGGATTTATACTTGGAAAGTCATGTTCAAGTATAAGAATTACAACAGGTAAGTTCATACAGCTATAAATTGAAAGTTTCAAATTACACAGGCAGGTGCTTTAAATATTTTATTGTTTACAAAAAGGGACATAGTTATTTTCTTTTATTTCATGAGAAAATGTGATTTTGTTTATATTCTCAGTCTTATGTATATATTTTTTTATGGAAACAAGGAATTAGTTTTTTGTGAATGTAAGAAGTGGTTGAAACACCATAAAATCTCTTATTTACTACCAGTGTAGCATCATAATTTGGAGTTACCTCCCCTGCTAGATGGCAGCACTTCCTGGAGATGTTTTGGGTCAAATGAGCACTGGATTAGACACATGTTTAACTAAACAATTTAAAATTCATCTCACCAGAAATGAGTGGGTAAGACAATTTTCTATGCTTGTGTGACATTGTGTAGCTTGAAATCTGATCCATTAGAGTGCTAAGTATCACCTCATGATTTCAATGTCAATCAAACACTGTTTGTTACTAATAACATGTGTGTCTAAAGGTGTACACCAAACTTGACACCTTGTAGATATACCGACATTCCAAAGGTGTTGTGATCTGTTTGACCACAGGTAAGTTATGCTGGTGAACAGTGCTAGCAAGAGTAGTTATTTGTATGTGAATTTAATGATTGCAGCATTAGTTGTAGCTCGTTAAGGGATGGGTATGGGCGTAACATTATGTAACTAGATGACAGGTTAGGTGACTTTATTTAATGTCTTGAATTTATTATTGATTTGTGCAACAGACTGACTGAAGCTTTGAATGGGTCTCAATGCTAGTCTGCTGAACCAGTATTCAGAACTGCATGAGTCAGTTGATTGATTGGAATGTGAATTACCTTGTTCCATTCAAGGTGGGTTAAGGGAGCCTGACGTATGAATTCCTTAGCATTTGCAGGTGTTATGAGATCAAATGGAATAAATGCTTACTGGTCACTTGTGTGGTGACATGCATCTGGCAGCTGTGGCCCTTCTCCTCACTCCTCTATCTTTAATAATGTTCAGCAAACTCTCCCATGATCTGTTGGTGTTTTTGAAGACTTCTATAAGTTAGATGTTAGTAAGTGTCTGTGTTTCAGCAAGTTTTGGGCACCTCAGAATATATGTATCTATATGTATGTGTCTGTAAGGATAGGGGTGGTGAAAGGGGCTACTGTGGGACAATGTTTCGAGTTGTGGAATATTGTTTAAGTATTGCAGTTAACTGGTACCATTGTTTTGATTTTGTTGAAACATTGTAGTGAAATGTTTCTATTTGTTGATATCATCAGTCATCATACAGGCTGACATTTGCAACTCTGTTCAACAAAGATTATTGCTAGCATATTGTTGGTTTATAATTATGATATTGCACTGAATATTTTAAGTTATGCAAATATTATTGCAGTATTTAGACAACAAAAATAAGAAGTTATTTGTTGTTAAACCAGATTCTATGACAGTTGTCTGAATTACTAAGCCTCAAGTAAACAAAGTGAGTTAGTTAAAATTTAATGTTAAATTGCATTTCTCCAGCAATTTAGTTATGTGTTTTAAGGATAACAATCATTGCTTCATCATGTTTCTGCGTCTCCTGCATGGCAATCAGTATGTTGTTATCCATCCAGCACATTTCCCTATATTAGGGTATTATTTCTTGGTAAAGCTACAAATAAAGAAAGACTACAAATATGTTTAATACAATCAACAACTTAATGCTCTATACATTCTATTGTAAATCCACCTGCAGTTTATTGTCGTGTAGTCCACATTGTGGTCAGGTGAGGTGAAATGGGGTTTAACGCCGCACTTAAGAATATTTCAGCTCATATGATGACGTGCATGCGTGTGTATGTGTGGCTGCTTGTACTAGCCCAGACTTAGCTGGTTTTATAGTGCTAGCTCACTGAGATACCATGCTGTAGATTAAACAATGTTTTATGAATTTAGCAGTTAGCATTGTAAGCTGTATGTTCAACCTTGCTGAATGATAGACTAGATAGGTCGCCAACCTACATGCAGTAGTTTCCTTGTTTCATGATGTCAGATATTGTGTGGATGTGTGTGTGTACATCTATCTAACCACGGAGTGATAGAAATATGTAGAATTTGTTTTATAATAAATGCAGTTTATATTAACGGTTTCTGATAAGTGAGTGAGTTAGTTTTAGGCCGCACTCAGCAATATTCCAGCTATATGGCGGCGGTCTGTAAATAATCAAGTCTGGACCAGACAATGCAATCATTGTGTTACATTAGTTTCATTTAAACTTTTTATTAATCTCATGGACAATATCTGGCTCTTCTTCTGAAGAAATTCTTTTTGAAACAAGAAATGTTTTATTAGTTGTAGTTTGGGGTGATTTTAACAATACTAGTAATAATAATTCTGTTTACTGAACACCAATTTCCTTCTTCCAAACAGTTGCTTATAGCTCTGCACGATGCAGGAAAGATAACAAGAAATATGGATCAGTGTGCCATGCTATTTTATTGCAATGGTTCTTTTCTCACGTTATCTTCCACAACAATACTTGGCTGTTTTAGGCATTTGCTATTGATCTTTTGGCCTATTTCACTTGTTATTGGCATGGGTAAGACTACTGCACTGTGTAAAGCCTTATTATAAAATACTGGTAATTGTGGTTCATCATGGTATAGTACCCCGGTATATAATATGGTATCTTGTTGTTGTTCATAGTGATAGATAATTCAGTTTGGAAGCGGCTCACTCTGTTGTTTACAGACATATCCTGTCTATTCACATAAGTCACATTTATGGTGTTTACACTGAACATAGCAAATAAGAAATTCACATTTTTTATCATTAATGATATTGACTTTCAACTGCTTTATCAAACTTGTTAGAGAGAATCCCAATAGTATTAGATTCTTAAGAAATTAAATGTTAGGAGGATGGAAACCTATAGATAATATCAGGGATTTATCTGTTACTGTATTACAGAGAGAGGCGACTAATGGGATTGGGTGGTGAGGCTCGCTGGCTTGGTCATCGGCTCCCAATTGCACAGATCGATGCTCATGGTGTTGATCACTGGATTGTCTGGTCCAGACTCGATTATTTACAGACTGCTGCCATATAGCTGGAATATTGCTGAGTGCGGCATAAAACTCCACTCACTCACTCACACACTCCAATTACAGAGAATATGGCAATTTGACATTGACAATCCCTATCCTACTTCCTGAACCCAAAGGGGATGGTGAGGTAGTGTATAGTTGTAAGTGCGGCCTTGTCACTTGAATGTCAGGTTTGATTTTCAATACACAGTAGGTGTGTCCCCACAGTTGATCATGATGAAGTGAACATTACACTGATAAAAGCCATGTAAAACCACGCTCACTTCTCAGACCTCTGCTTCGGCCGACTAGGTAGAGCCCTAGCATGGAGAGGGTTCATGTTTAAATCCCTACATGTATCACACCAGAATATAGTAAAAGATGGTACTTGTTGGTTTACTGGGTATAAAACCCCACACAGACATGCACAGACAGACAGACATGCATACATAGACACATAGACACAGGCACACATGAACAAACACAAACACACTTACACACACACAGACACAGACACAGAGGCACAGCCGAGACACAGAAAGATGCAGAGACACACAGGCACAGACGGGACATAGAAAGACACAGAGACACATGGTCAGACAGACACACACACACACAGAGACAAGCATGTCACACACACACACACACACACACACACACACACACACACACACACACACACACACACACACTACTCAGAGAGAGAAAGAGAGAGAGTGTGTGTGATTCGTAACATATTGAACAATGCACTTTGATTACAACGAAATGTGTCCAAACAAGGAATGAAGTAAGTACATACACTCAACTTACACTCAACATACTATTCCTCTCAGGATGTGACAACTGCCCATAACTGGGCTACATGGGAGGAACTGAATCATCACAGGTTCATTCTGGAATCAACACATTACAGCAACTCTGGTTAATCCCAGTTGTCATCCCCCCACCACTCACCCATACTTTTGACAGTGTTCATATGTGTGTACTCATCTCATTTTGACAGACTGGAGATGGATAAATCTCAAC